GAGTGATTTAACCAAACAGACAGTAGGCTCAGGACTGGAACTCAAACCTCCTTACCACCCAGACCAGGGTCCTGAGAGAGAGATATGAATAAATGCATGGACTGGGATTCCTTAGAACACAAGCACAAGAAATTATGTAATTTTACAAATTTACAATGGAGCACCGGCTAATGGGGGCTTTGGAATTGGAGAGCCCAGCTCAAATCCTGCTTCTCCACTAACTAGGCAAATTAGTGACCCCTCTAAGCCCAGGAAAAAGAGAAGAATCATTGTTATGGTAGCTAATGGTTATTGAGAACTTGCTATATGTTCTCTTGTTTTAAGCACATTACATATATGGGCTTTAAATTCTACCTTGTATGTCTAGAGGTTTAATTCAGATAATATATCTTAAGGCCTTAGCCCAGAACATTCTCAATAAATGTAGTATTATTTAATCAAGAATATAGGTATTAATTATCTCTATTAATGAAATGTATGGGGCGAGTTTAATTGTTAACATAATCAAGTGAACTATTTCTTTAATTGTGATGAATAAAATTCAAATTTTAAAGTTACATAGTGAGTGAATACTCTCATCAAAGCTCTCTTCAAAATATTTCTTCTAAAGCATTGAAAGATTTAGGTTTCATTTTAAATTCCACTTCTTTTTTCTGTCATTTCTATTTCCTCCGAAGCAAAGATATACCATAGAGAAGACACTCTGTATCCCAGGGGTATGGACTAGCCAAACAGGTAGTCTTTCTAGCATTTTCTACTGAGTAAGCAGATCCAAAAAGCTGTTGACTTTCCTCACTGCTAGGATAGAACAGAACAAGGTCTTTGCATATTTTCAGTTATTATTTACTTTAAAAATAGGTACAAAAATACCCTTAAAGTAGAAGACTTGACAGACTCATTTTTCTGCCCTCATTTCTCTGTTGAAGAAGTTAAATGCAGGAGAAATCCAGCAAGTTAGCCAGCTGCTGTCTCCATCGGCCTCGTCATGAGGCACTGTCTGTCACAGCTGTGGGCATTTCACAGTGGGAGGTGACAGGCTGAGGCCTTTGGGTGTCTCCATCTCTTCCTCCCAGTGTTTCACCAGGAAAACATGCCAACCCAGTCACCACTTTCTGAAAGACCCAAATGACTTGTCTCTGAACTCTGTCCCCTTCCTAAGGCTGACCTTGGACAAAAATAGTTCATATGCTCTGATAAATGACAGTTGCTTTCTTTTGTTGACATATTTTGTTGCAACCATAATTCTATGTGCTTTGAATATATAGAAAGTAGAAGACATCCAGTGGCTACCTTTTGAGGAGTGAGCTTTGGAATGACTAAGAAGTGATTATAGTCAGAGTGTTTATTATACTGCACAGTAGGTATAATTAACTAGGATGTTCATTTGATGCCTCCATTTTAAGTCTCTAATGTTCTTATGGTTCAGAGTGAAGGAAAACTTTGTTTCACTGATGGGTGTTCTAAATGTTAAAGGTCACAGACAGGCAAAGAGCAGAGACATGACAATATGGGTTTCTTTCAGTGTTAACACAAATAGATGTAAAACCATGTTTTTCTTTGAGAAATTCAATACTGATAATATTTGCCAAGTGGATTAATTTAATTATTATAATTTACATCACAAAATGTTTCTTCTCCTTAAGGAAAAGTGTCACTTCAGAATTTCACTCATGGAAAACAGCTTTAAAATGGAGGTCCATAACGGTGCCTGGGTGACTCAGTTGGTTGGTGTCTGACTCTTGATTTCAACCCAGGTCATGATCTCAGGATCATGAGATTGAACCCCACATCGGGCTCCATGCTGGGCATGGAGTCTGCTTTAGATTCTCTATCTCCCTTTACCTCTACCCTTCCTGCTCATGCTCTCTCTCTCTTAAAAAAAAAAAAATGGAAGTCCATAAGAAGGTATAGTTATACTAATAAAAATGAGGTGTCCATAACTTTTGAGAAACATATGCCAACTTAGAGTCATTTTGCATGGGTTATGGAAGGCAGCATAATTAAATTGTTTCACGTAAAGACCTTGGTACCTTCAAAACCAAATCCAAAGCCAGTTTCTGAGCAACTTGGGAAAGAAACTCAAATCTCTCTGAGCCTCAAGATCTTCACCTTCAAAAGAACAATTTCTGTGAAGATCCTTATCTTTAAAATAACTTCTACCTTGTAGCATTGCAATAAGGATTAAATTAAAAGGTAAAAAAAAAGATAGAAGAAAAATTTAGCACATTTTCCAGCACATTCTAAGCATACAAAAAATAGTAGCTGTAACTATTAATACTACAAAATGCAAAACCAAAATCACACCTTAGATTAGAATATTTGCTAAAGACATTGTCTTCACAGATCTGAAATGCTTTCAATCCACTAATTTCAAGTGAAAGCATTCAATTTCCTGTTTCCCTTTGTAGTTAATTACAAATAGTAATAGTGGAAAGAGGATAACCTGCTATCTGCATGCCACAGTGTCTGACACTTCTCACCTCCCTGAATAGGCAATGATCCTACCAGGTGAATATTATTGAAGTCAGCTGCCCAAATAACCTTGGTAGAATAACCAAGAATGGTAGAATAACCATTAATTACTAAGCATGGATTTCAACTCAGACCACTTGTGCACATGTTCTTAAACTCTTATTCCATGCTGGAAGTGAAAGTGATTAGCAGTGAGGAGTGGGGTGGACCAAGAGCCTTTTTCTACTTTAAATAAAGTGAGTCTAGATTAATAGTTCTCAGTTTTGGAGGGTTGGAATTGAAATTCCCTTACACTATAAAAAAAGTATTGGGGATCTCACAAAGCTTTTGTTTATAGGGGTTATACTTTCTGACATTTTTCAAATTATCAATTAAAGCTAAGAAAGGTTTTTTTATTATTTATTTATTTTAAAATAGTAATAATTTTTATTTTAAAAATACTTTAAAAACAATAATAAACACATTACATGTTAATATGCATATTTTTAACTTTTTATTTAAATTCCAGTTAATTGACATACAATGTAATATTGGTTTCAGGTGTACAGTATAGTGATTGTTCAATACCTAGTGTTCATCACGACAGGTGCCCTCCTTCATCCCCATCACCTATTTCACCCATCCCCCACCCCCACCCCTCTGATAACCATCACTTTGTTCTCTATAATTAAGTCTATTTCTTGATTTGTCTCTCTCTCTCTTTTTCCCCCTTTGTTCATTTGTTTTGTTTCTTAAATTCCACATATGAGTGAAATCATATGGTATTTGTCTTTCTCTGACTAACTTATTTCCCTTAGCATTATACTCTCTAGATCTATCCATGTCATTGCAAATGGCAAGATTTCATTCTTTTTTAGGGCTAATATTCTGTTGTATGTATACCACATCTTCTTTATTTAAAAAAATGGCTAAAATGAACAACACAGGAATTAATATGCATGTTTTTTATGTAAAATAAAAATGTTTTTTAGAAAAAAACCTCTTTTAGTGAGAAGAGGAGCGACTTCATTTTACAGTTTTAGCAAATCTCCTTAATGTCCCACTTGATATAAGGCAGCCAGACTCTGCTGTTGGCTTCTGCATGAGGCCAGTTGTGCCCTGACACCTGGCGTGGGTCCTGGAGAACTCCACAGGAAACTTAAGAGACCATGACAGTGAAATGGACAAATAAAGTCTTCCTGTTATTATAAAAATAGTTTGACAGCTGGCCTCCCTGGAAGATCTCAGGGACCCCTGGGGGCCCAGCCTGTGTTTTGAGAACCACAGTTTAGGTAAAATCTGCAAGAGAACCGAGAAGCTCTGTCGCCAACTTTAGTCCACAATCATAGTCCACGTTCATCATTCAGTTACCTGCTTGTCCACTATGTGGCTTTTTGTACTATTCTAGAAAAGGACAATAGAAATCTGTCATCTCTAGTAATAACAAACATTGAGTGGGAAAAGATTTAAAAGCAATAATATTTCTCAGCAAAAACAAAAAGTATTATGGAAAGATGTGTCATAATTATATTTGGTTAACTCACACTGAGACAAAAATTCATGTGTTTTTATCTTTACAGCATAAGACAATCCTTTGTTATACAGATGAAATGTAATTGAGGTGTCATTCTATTTTGTGGCAATAACCAAACTGATTAAATCTATTCTATTGCTTAAGTGAAGGTAGTGAGTCAAATATTAGCAGATGTGTACCCTAATAAAGTAGAGGACCCCAGGAGAGCATTGGAAATCTCACATAAGATGGGAAAAATCTTATACACTGTTTGGGTAGTGTTAAAACACATTAGAATTTGAATTGTTTGGTTATTCATGAGATTGCATCTTCAAAATATCTTGTCTCAGAAATATAATTTTTCTTCCTTGCTTTAGAATCCAAGCCCAGAAACCAGTCATTTGTTAATCATATTTGAAATTCCCTTAAACAAAATATTTGGGTTTTTTTTGATTCATGTATTCAAATTTGTTTTGCTTTACTGTACTGTTTCAACATGGAAAATGATTGTCATGATGCACTTTACTTATTCTTAATAATTTCTAAATTTAACATAGTAACTTGGGTATTCTGTAAGAATTGAACCCTATTTCACAGACATGTTGGCAAAGCTAAAGCTGAAGGAATATCATTTCAGTAGCAATATTGCACCAAAAGGAAAAACACTTTTTTTTAAGATTGAAAATATTCATAGAGTGCACTAGCACTAAAATGAACTTTGATCCTCATTATCAATTGAACCATACCCCAAAATAATCGTTTGAAGTTTCCACACGTTGGACATCATTGAAGTTTCCAGATGTTGGATTTGATGACAGAAGAAACATCAGTATTAACATCAATGTATTCCTCTAAAACCAGCTCCTGGTTGAATATTTTACACATTCTAGAGGTGCTATTATCATGTAAGTTTTTTTCCAATATCCAGATGCTCTGAGGTGAAGAAAACACCTACAGGTTCTTCAGAAAAGAGCTGCTTGTTGAGATAGAGAGCCTGGCCGTGTAACACTAAGAAGGTTTTCTCGATTCCCTCCAGGTTCTTTGCAGCAACAGCCTGCTTGAGTCTACAGACTACTGGCTACAGAATCAAAGGACGCCTTGCCAGATTGGTTTTGTGGAGGACAAGTCTGAAAACTGTGCTACCGTAAGTAAACACAACTCTCAGGGTATACTTTGAGAAAGCAGGGAGTCCGGGACGTGTGCTCATGCTAAAGATGGAAGTTTCATAATTCATTAAATACAAGCCTAGGAAAGTATCATTTCGGAAAATGCATAACTGGTTTGCACGGACTGTTAACAAAATAGCATGCTGAGCTCATGTTTCTACTCTCATTTTGCTCATTTCAGTGGGTAAATTAATCTGATCAATTCTCTGAAAAGGAAAAATGATGTTTATATTTTCAAAACTGACTGAGAAAACGATTCAGATATAGAACTGTATGATGAGAAATAAGAGACCATTCAAGAGCCCTCTTGGATTCTTTTCAATATATTTTATAACTGCTGCTAGTGGGTTATTTTCCAACACGAAAATTGTGTAAAAATGTTCTACCATTCTTATAAGTTATAGTCATCATCTGAAAACCTTTCAACCTAAGAATGTACAGGTATGCATTTTAATATACTGGAGCTGAGCTTTACATACAAAACCTTCTTTCTCAAGGAAGAGATGTTCTTATAAACAAAATTCTTATCATAATATGTGGGTACATAATATTGACATGAGAAATCCACAATATGATTTATTTTTCCTGTTCAAAGATGCTCTTTCCTGTATGTTCTACAAAGTGATATGTTTCATTTTAATTGAAATCACCTCGCCCTTATGGGGTCATAATTAGAGAGATTGGGGAAGAGTATTTCCAAAGCGGAGAGAAATGTAATTCTCATGACTAAACTGAGAACTTCAGCTCTGAGCTATTCTTGGAGGTAAGTTGAATGCCAGCATTTTTGTTAAAAGAAAAAAAAAATTAAAACAAAAAAAAAAAGAAGGAAGCTGAAAACGGGATGAAGAAGCTTTTTATATAAAATGGGCAGAACCAGAACTGGCAGACAGAGGATGTAAAACATTTCACACCGCAGAGTCTCGTCGCACAGGGAAAGCAGAGTCCATTCAACAGACTTCTTTCAATCTCTTTGTTTAGGCAAATGATTTTAATCCCACTACTTTTAGGACTTTTAATCCCTTACCCAGATAACTGGTTGCTGTCTAAAAATCTTTGGGGATTAGGAGGCGAGTAATTTAATAGTGAGACCTCCTCTGCAAACTTACTTCTGAGGTGAGTTAGAAAATGCAGACATTTGTGGATACAGATTTCTAATCACACAGCTGTCCATTGTAAAAGGGAGAAAAATGGAGCGTAAAAGCTTTCCAGCTACATTCTGGAAAAAAATTGTCCTCCAAGCAGTTCCTGTATTAAGAAGTCTCCCACTTGGAGGGGCGCCTGGGTGGCTCAGTCTGTTAAGCGTCGGACTCTTGATTTCGGCTCAACAGGGGTGATCTCAGGGATGTGAGAGGGAGCCCTGAGTTGAGCTCCACACTCAGCTGGAAGTCTGCTTGAGATTCTCTTCCTCTGCCCCTCCCCCCACTCTCTCTCTCAAATAAATAAATAAAACCTTTAAAAAATGAAGGCTCCCACTTGGAGAAAGCATGAAAGTTGGAGCACTAAAAATTGTGTGGTGGAGGGCAAAGAGGTCTTCTCAAAACTTTCTGGTTTTGGAATCTGGATTAGAGCTCTGCAATTAGAAATGTTTAATTTATAGCCAGATTCAAGATTACCATTGGATCTCCCTAAGTGAAGGGAAATCTCCTCCCACTCCCCACCAATCCCAATGGATTCAAATTTGGACTTAAAACCATATGACTTCCTTCCTTAATTCTTTGTCCCTTTATAGTGTCAGATGACATCAGTGAGGTTGAGCTGATTCGTCCTGCTTTTACGGTTCTTTCTATTCTTTCCAAAAGGGGAAAAATCCTAAACACTAATAAAAGGCATACTGGAAGATTTGTTTTCCCACAATGTTTATAAAAATTGTCCATGACTCTAAAGCTAAAAGAAATTTCAAAGTCCCTATGGCAAAGTTGCCAGCCCCTAATCTCTCCAAAGTATCCTTTAGTCCCATTTTCTTAAAGTGGGAGTCCTTTCTCTTTCTGACTTGGCACAGATTTCTAGGGTGAGAAGAGAAAACAGAGTCCAAAGTTAGACATTGCTGGAGGGAAGCGATTCTAGAGGGGAAATAGAGGTGAGCCATGGAGATCAGGACCAGGACCTCTTAATCAAACAATACATAGGGAGTGGCCAAAATGGTCAGGGTTTTGGGGTTTTGTTTTGTTTTGAGATTTTATTTATTTATTTATTTATTTGACAGAGAAAGAGAGCGCACAAGCAGGGGGTAGTGGCAGGCAGAGGGAGAGAGAGACGCAGACTCCCCGCTGAGCAGAGAGCCCCATCTGGGGCTTGATCCCAGGACCCTGGGATCATGACCTGAGCCGAAGGCAGCCGCTTCACTGACTGAGCCACCCAGGTGCTCCTGGGTTTTGGGGTTTTTTGGTGTGTTTTTTTTTAGGGTTTTATTAATTCATGTACTTAATTGCCTTTTAAAAACAAATTCTCCATAGCAGGATGAAAGTGAAAGGTATAATTTAAGGGAAAAATTATTGTATTTTAAAATAATATCTTTATTCAAGTTTCATTTAAAAATTCAGTTTAATAGGGCACCTGGGTGGCTCAGATCGTTAAGCGTCTGCCTTCGGCTCAGGTCATGATCCCAGGGTCCTGGGATCGAGTCCGGCATCGGGCTCCTTGCTCAGCAGGGAGTCTGCTTCTCCCTCTCCCTCTTCCTCTCCCCCTGCTTGTTCTCTCTCTGTCTCTCTCGCAAATGAATAAATAAAATCTTTAAAAAAAATTCAGTTTAATAAAATCATCCCAGATCAAAAAATCTCTATTCAAATAACCAGAACAGAACCTGAGTAACCTGTAGCAATATTGGTTCATATTTTATCGCTTTGTACTCTGTTCATAGCTCTTGTGTTAATCGTTGCTTCTTTAACTGATTTCTTCCCTATCAAAATTAGCAGCCAACTTTTTGAGATCCAATTTTGATTGACTTGGGATCCAATATACTGCATTCCAAGTGTCTGGACTTGTAGTTTTTTAGAACTAAGAACATCAGCGTACCAACATTTTCTGAATTCGAGATGTCTGCTTAAAATTTTTATTGAGGGACAAACTCAGACTTGGAAAACCTTCAGGGTGTGGTGCTCCTGGGTCAGTATGACTGTTTGTTCTCAAGCATCAAGCGAAAAATTTTTTGGTTATTATTTCAATAGAGAACTGCATTCATTTCACAGCTAAAATGAAGAGCCTTAATGAAGAGTAGTTTGAAGTAGTCAGAAATATGATAGGCACACCAAACAGGAACAGCTTGCCAGGAAGTCTGGCTCGAGAAGCCCTCTAAAATTCACCCTTAAAAGTTTTTCACCAGGTATCAAATATAAACAATTTGCTTATGTTTTCCTAAATAGCATTCTCTTATCAAACTATATAATTTCATTTTCTTTCTAATTTGCCATTCTGAAAAAAAAAAATTAATCCACTAACTTTAACCTTCAGGGTCTTTTTTTTTTAACCTCATTTTTTTTTTAAGATTTTATTTATTCATTTGAGAGCGAGAGATAAAGAGCGAGCAAGGGGAGGGGTAGAGGGGGAGGGAGAGGGACAAACCAACCCCGAGCTGAGTGCGGAGCCCAACAATGGACTCCATCTCACAACCCCAAGATCATGACCTGAGCTGAAATTAAGAGTTGGACGCTTAACCAACTGAGCCATCCAGGCACCCCTAACCTGATTATTTAAAAGAAAGAAATGTGGAGAAGGGTAATGGAATTGGAAGCCAAGTTCCAAACCCAACAGCTGAGACATTATCTTAATAGAGGTCCTTAACACAAGGGGTAGGAATTGGACTTTTCAAGTCTCTTGACTTTTTTTTTTAATTAAAAACTGATTTAGTTTCTTTTTAATCTGCTATTACCCTTTGCTATTTACTCAAATTTATTTTTTTTTATTTTTCGGAAACCCTCGTTTTAATGCTTCATTAAAATTACCTTGACAATTCACATTATTTCTTTTTTTAATTTAATTTAATTTAATTTTATTATGTTATGTTAGTCACCATACAATACAGCATTAGTTTTTGATGTAGTGATCCATGATTGATTGTTTTCGTATAACACCCAGTGCTCCATGCAGTACGTGCCCTCCTTAATACCCATCACCGGGCTAACCCATCCCCCCACCCCCTCCCCTCTAAAACCTTCAGTTTGTTTCTCAGAGTCCATAGTCTCTCATGGCTCATCTCTCCCTCCAATTTCCCCCCCGCTTCATTTTTCCTTTCCTTCTCCTAATGTCCTCCATGCTATTCCTTATGTTCCGCAAATAAGTGAAACCATATGATAATTGACTTTCTCTGTTTGACTTATTTCACTTAGCATAATCTCCTCCAGTCCCATCCATGTTGATGCAAAAACTGGGTATTCATCCTTTCTGATGACTGAGTAATAGTCCATTGTATATATGGACCACATCTTCTTTATCCGTTCATATGTTGAAGGGCATATCTGCTCTTTCCACAGTTAGGCTATTGCAGACATTGCTGCTATGAACATTGGGGTGCATATGGCCCTTCTATTTATATCTACTGTCAGACTCTTTTGTTATGGATCATTTTAAGACTTGGCTATTACTCTGCAAATAAATTATACCCTCTAGGGTGCATCTTAATTGATGAGTCACAGTATTTGAAAATGTGTTACATTTTCCTTCAATTTTTAAATAAACAAATTAAATTTTCAGGCAGGCTTCAACATCCCACACATGATATTGCAAAACTAAGAAGATATTTGACAGCTGTTCCATGAGTCACTGATGTCAATGCAACCCAGTGGCAAAAATGACAAAATGATATCTTGGATGACTGCTCTTTATTCTATATTATTTCTCCAAATATTTCTATACCAAGTCTGTGATGAAATTTTAAAAAAAGGTAAGTTAAGGAAGAGACAAATACTCCACTTGATAAGCTGATCTATGGAAAAATCTAGACTTATATGATCAAGGAAAAATATAACTCTAGAACTATGACGAG